ATGTTTCTTGGAAAGACCTCTTTAAGTGTTCTTTTTGTTTCTTGGATTTAAGGATATAGCTCTTTCTGTAGGTTTGGGAGGTTCTTATTCACTGTTTGAATAGGCTCTCTGTTCCCTCCTCCTCCTCCTCCTCCTCCTCCTCCTCCTCCTCCTCCTCCTCCTCCTCCTCCTCCTCCTTCTTCTTCAATGCCTATTATTCTTATACTAGAAGACTGGTTACATGAAAACTCAGGCACTGAAGGTGTAGTCCTTCAGCCTGGTCTGCCCCCTCTCACAGTCTGGGAGCGGGAGCGACTTGGTGATCAGGGAAATGCAACACCCCCATCACACCTCTACTGCTGCCACTGCTGGCATTGCAAGCCTTGGCTGGCCCTGGTTACCTGAGCCTCAGGTGGCCCTGGTTACCTCAGGTGGCCCTGGGCAGCTGGGGGATTGAGGGGTCTGGGGGGCTCCAGGGCAGGTATGCCTGTCACCCTGGTGGGACTGAGCGGACTGTGCACTGCCATATTGTGGCTGTGAGCACCACCATCTTTGAGGGTGTGGCAGTCAATTAGCATATTCCTTCCTTATTGGCTGTGTGTGCTTCCATCTTTGTGAGAGTGTGATGGTAAATTAGCATATTCCCTCTGTATTAGGACTATTGCTTTTCCTGATGGAGTCAAATAGTTCTCATAGAGCTCTTTGGTTTGTTTTTGTTTTTAATACTCAAGTCTCTCTCTTTTTCCCTCTGTGTCATTTCTAGATTTTTACCTAGAAAATTCTTCCCTCTGTATGGTCACTAATTCTTTCCTATGTATGGTTGACTTTGTTTCCTATGCTCAATAGTTCATTTCTAATTTCCTTAGTTGCATACTTCATTTCTGGGATTTCTGGTTAGTTCTTTTTAAATTTTCAGTCTCTTTGATAAAATACTTGTTTTGTTCATTTGTTTGTTTTCTGAGTGCATTGAATTGCCTTTCTGTATTTTCTTGCATCTTGTTGACTATTTTCAGAATTTCAACTTTAATTCTTTGTCAATTATGTCATATATTTCCTTGTGTTCCCTTTGCTTTCTGGATATTTACCATGGTTATTCATAATATTTGCTGGTCTGTTCTGTCTAGGCTTTTATATTATTACTAGAGGTCCAGTGCACAAAGTTGTACAAGGATGGGATCCTCAGCCTGGCTGGCAATTAGGGCCAATTAGGACAATCTTGCCCAATCCTGATCAGGGTTGATGGGGGCTGGACAGTGAGGGTGAGGTACTGCAGGAGGTTGGCTGGCCATGGGAAGTTGGCTGTTGGAGCACCAGGGGTCAGCTCCTGCTTTGAGTGGTCAGTGTGCGTCATAGTGACTGGTCAACCAGTCATTTGGTCCCTTAGGCTTCTCTCTCTGTATATTGGGCCTTTTCTAGCAGTTTTCTCTGAAGAGACCTTTCTATGTTTTCCAGTAGGTGGTGCTGAATCAAAGATTTTTACCTCTGTGATCTCCCACATTTGACCTCTATAGCTGACAGCAGTGCTGCTTGCTGCTTCAGGGTGGGGTTTGTTTTGCCCTTATTATAATGGTGACCCTGGACTTCTATGGGATTTCCTGTCATGCATCCAAACTGGGAATCAGTCACAGAGGGAAGCAGCAATTCTGCAATATTTCTCAGTTTACAGATAATGTGCTTCTCAACCTAATCCTACACCAAGGGCAACAGGAAGCAAATTTTGGGAGTCCAAGTGACAACAGGTTCTGTGACTCCCTTTCTTTGTCTGAAACACCAACCACCTGACAGTGGACAGCTGCAGCAGAATCCCTGTGCTGTGTCTTTGCCCCAGCCTCTCAGCTGACTCAGCTGCTGTTCACACTGCTTGCCCGGCTGACTCTGCTACTCTGTCCCCAATACTCTGCTCCTCCTGGCTAAAGCAAATGCTTGCTACCCTGGCTTTCTTCCCTCTCTGGGCCAGGATAGCTGCGAACGCCTGGCTGCAGGGCTGAGTCCATGGCTATCTGAGCTGTCCTCCCTTCTTGCTTCCCTATTTTTTCCCGTGTGCTCACCTTTAGATGTTTAACTGCACAGGTCTCTCAGAGGTGCCTCTAGAAGTGCCAACTAGAAGAGCAAAAATCACTTTTCATAGGAACACAAAAGAATCTAGAGTCTCTATAATGGGTATCATTCATATTGTCCACTATCAATTCATGTTATGAAACCAGGAAAGTGTGTCTGTATTCAAGAAAAAAAAAATAGTCAATAAAAACTGATACCAAGACAAATCAGAGGTTGAAATTAGCAGATAGTACTTTAAAGCAGCTATAAGAAATATGTTTAAAAACTTAAAGGGAGACTCACCAGTGTGGCTTAGTTATTGAGTGTTGACCCATGAATCAAGAGTTCACTGATTCATTTCCTGTTCAGTGCACATGCCTCGGTGGTTGTGGGCTCAATTCCCAGTGGGGAGTGTGCAGGAGGCAGCTGATCAATGTTTCTATCTCTCTATCCCTTTCCTTTCCTCTCTTTTTCTAAAAACAAAAAACAAACAAACAAACAAAAAACAACAATAAAAACATATTTTTAAAAAGACATATGGATGTTGTTAAAAATATTAAAAAAAACTTAAAGGGATATATATTAAATAAACAGATTGAGAATCTCAGAGGAGAAACAGCAACTATAAAAAATAAAATGGTAATTATAGATCTGAAAGATACAGAATTTGAAATTTAAATTTTATCTTATGACCTTACAAATAGATTGGAAATGATAGAAGCAAGAGTCTGTGAATTTGATTAGAAATTATGTAATCTGAACAACCAGGAGGGAAAATCTTTTTTTTTTAATATATATTTTATTGATTTTTTTACTGAGAGTTAGAAACATCGATGAGAGAGAATCATCAATCAGCTGCCTCTTGCACACCTCCCACTGGGGATGTGCCCACAACCAGGTACATGCCCTTGACCAGAATCGAACCTGGGACCCTTCAGTCCACAGGCTGACGTTCTGTCCACTGAGCCAAACTGGTTTTGGCCAGAGGGAAAATCTTAATGAGAATGAGTCCCTAAGACCAGTGAGACAATATCATGTGATCTTACACATGTGTAATTTGCATCCTAGAGAATAAGAGAATCATAATAGTGCAGGAAAAAAAATATCTGAAGAAATAATAGCTTGAAGCTACAAAATGTAGTTAAGTGCATCAATTTATAGACCAAGATCAACAAACCCTAAACAGGATACATAAAAATAAAGCCACACCTAGGCATAACAAAATTAAGTTACAGAAATCAAAAGATAAGGAGTGAATATTAAAATCAATAAGATAAAAGCCAGATGGTCTGAATGATACGCTTTCTTTTCATGAGAAACAATGGAGGCTAGAAGGCAGAGGAACAGCATTTTAAAGTGCTGGAATAAAACTGTAGATCAAGATTTTATAGCTAGTCTTAAAAAATGAAAGCATAATTAGACATTTTCAAATAAACACTTGCATCACAGAAATATTAAAGGGAGATCCACATTGAAGGGAAATGACTCCACAGGATTACATGTAGTTACTGGGAGGATTAAAGGCCACTGGGAATCTATACTAAGTAAAAAAGTTATATGTTAATTAGACTGGAAGACTTTCCAGGAGACCTTCCAGACATCCTTCCGGACAAAGCCATGGTGGCAGGGCGAGGCAGAGGCGGTTAGGGGCGATCAGGCCAGGAAGGGAGGGCAGTTGGGGGATCAGGCAGGGGGTAAAGTAGGGGGTGAGCAGGCTGGCGGGGGGGCAGTTGGGGTTGATCAGGCAGGCAGGCAGAGTGGTTAGGAGCCAGTGGTCCCAGATTGCAAGTAAGATGTTCCCCAAGGGGGTCCCAAATTGGAGAGTTTGCAGGCCAGGCTGAGGGACCACTCTCCCCCTTTCCCCCGCCCCGCCGCCATGCACAAATTTCGTGCACCAGGCTACTAGTGGTAAATATAAAAGACTAGATTTTTTTTCCTCTTAATTCCTTTACATGTGTCTGTTAAAAAATACTTTAATACTGTATTATGGAATGTATGAAGTATGACATGTATAAAGATGTCATATATATGACAATAATAGGACAAAGGATGGAGAGGTAAATGAACTATACTGTTCACATATACACACACATATATAATACATGAGAAATACAATATTAACTCTAGGCAGATTATGATAAGTTAAAAATGCATATTGCAATCCCTAGAGTAACCATTAAAAATGTAAAAGTTAAATGAATTTTTAAAAAGTGAAAAAAAAGTAGGAATTTGGCTAAAAGGGAAAATATTAAAATACAATACTAAAATCATTCAACTAACCCAAAGAAAGCAGGAAAGGGAGAGCAGATGGAACAAAAGAAAAGTGGAATGGATAAAACAAAATAATAAATGGCACACTATATCCAAGTATTAAATTCAAAGGATTAATTATTCCAATAATAAGACAGTAATTATTAAAATGGGTGAAATAGGAAATCCCAACACTAAATAAAAGAGCTTTGTATATAAGAAAGTGCTTCAAATACAAAGTCAACATAGGTTGAAGTAAAGGGATGAAAAAACATGTACCATGCAAACATTAAAATTAAAACCAATACTTCTAAAAAGGCATTGTTACAAAGATGAATAGGTAAGTTACAGAATGGGAGAAAATATTCATGAAAATATCTAATAAAGGAATTCTATTCAGAATATATAAAAATCTCATAAAACTCAACAACGACAAAAAAGATAAAGTTCCCAATAAATATAAAAATGGGTCAACACCTGAACAGACTTCACACAGGGAGATATATGACTACACGGTGTGTGTGTGTGTGTGTGTGTGTGTGTGTGTGTGTGTGTATGTGTGTGTACAGGAGACTATGTGACCACTTTTAAGAGAAAATTTAAGAGCTTCTGAAATTGTCCTTATTTGTTATACTATCACTTAATATTCCAAATTACTAATCTCCTCATGGTTGCATTGGGATAACCTCTATGAGGACATAAACTTGGATTTTTTTTATATTTAATAACTTCAGGCGATCAATATTGTGGAGGACGCCTTGAAAGACCTTCTGGCTCTTTTAAAACCCCCAACTGGCCAGACCGCGATTACCCTGCAGGAGTCACTTGCTTGTGGCACATTCTAGCCCCAAAGAATCAGGTAAGATTCCCTGAAAATATGAAGAAAGCATTCATGTGTGAATTTTCTAGACAATGTGAGAGGCCCAACTCTCAATAGCTATTGCTGCAGGGCAAGAAAGGCCTGGCTGGACATAGGTCTTTCTTCTACAAAAACCCAGATTCAAATTGCTTTTGCCCTATTTGACTTGCAAAATCATGGATTTAATTTCCTATTTCATAATTACAATTTCAAAACAGATTTTTAAGTACAAATGGTAAGTAAATCCTGTGTGAAATTGTTTAACCCTGTGAAAGATTTTATAAGTAGAAGCCACTAACTGTGGGACAATAAAGCAAGTACATGTTATATTTAGGTTACCCTTTGCTCACATAGCAAACTAATCAGGTCCTCAGAGTAGCCATCCCAGTCATCAAATAAAAAACAGTCTGCCTGCATCCCTTTGACCAAGCCAATGCAAACAGGCCACACTTCTTCAAAGAGCAAGTGGTCTGCTGTGAAAATTAGCCTACTTTATATGGTAATTTCTTTGGTTGTTTTTAAAAATAGAACCTGTGCAGGTTCCCCACAGATAACTTTATTCATTGCTGTAAAACAATTAACAGAGAATGTGTAGTGTCCACTGCTCATTAGTGGGTGGTTTTATGAATTTGTACCCTTTATGGGACCCACTTTCATATGTCAATTGCAGAACAGAACTTAGCATGGGAATAGATCAAGCCTAACCCATGGACTTTTGAAAATAACTATTCCCTAGTTTCATAGGTTTAAGTTTAAGATCTTACCTAGGATTGCTCTGGGAGTGAGATGATCTTTTGGAATGACTAAAAATTAAATCAAAAGAATAGCACAAGAAATATGAATACCACAGAAGAAATATGAAAGAATAATTTAAACCACATGTGTCAAACACAAGGCCCGCGGGCCAAATCCGTCCCGCCAGGCCTTGCAATGTGGCCCGCACCGCGCTGTCATCACTGCACTCCGCTGCGTTTCCATCACAATGACAGTTTATGACTGTTCAGTAAACCATTCGGCCTGCGATTTAGGCTGGATTTTAGATTTTGGCCCCTTCTCTGATTGAGTTCGACACCCCTAATTTAAACAATGCATTTTTACAAAGGAAAATCATGGTACCTACAAATCTGGAGGGAGGAAGAATTTCATTTGAGGATATTAGGCAATGCTATTTTAATCCTTCTAATTCTGTGTTTTTACTAAAGCTTATAGAATTAAAGTTTGAGAAGTTTGATGTTGAACGTGATAACTACTGCCGATATGATTATGTGGCTGTGTTTAATGGTGGAGAAGTCAATGATGCTAAAAGAATTGGAAAGTATTGTGGTGATAGTCCACCCATGTAAGTAGCACCTGTTTTATTTAAAAACTTCTTGTTTTCTTTTTCTGTTTTAATCCTCATCCAAAGGATATACTTATTGATTTTTAGAGAGAGATGATGGGCGAAAGAAAGAGAAACATCAATGTGAGAGAGAAATATTGATCAGTTGCCCCAACCCAGGATCAAACCTGAAACCTGGGTATGTACCTTGACTGGCAACCGAACCCAAACCTTTTGGAGTATGGGATGCTCCAACAAACTGAACCACCCAGCTGGGACTCAAATCTTATTACTTATTCAATTGATCAACTATGTTTTATTTTCTGAAAGATTTTATGTTGTTATTTTGTTCACAAGATCCTGGGTTCCATAACAGTGAGTAGACAACCTTAACAAGTGTAGAGAGGCCTCTACAGACACATAAACAGAAGCAGAGGTGGCAATTACCACAGGCAGATGCTGTGTCAGATGCATGGATATGTCACTGCCCTTCAAAGGTGAGGTTGTGCCTCAGAGTGAAAGGGAAAGTTATGATTAAAACAATACATAACAAAACTTGGGGCTACCTACTGGGGACCCAGACAAAGAAAACAGAAAGCTTACAATAGATCCAGGTGATTTTACCTAATCAGGTCCTGTCCTGGATCTTGTAGCTCCTCTTCATATTGTTGTTGTTCAAATTTTGGTGAGTGAACCCGAAAGGTACTTATCAGAACATTTATGGAGCTAAGAGCTCTGTCACTTACTAGTTGCATGATGCTGCTCACATTATTTAACTGTAAGATATTTGTTGCAAGATATTTTACACCTTGGTATACAATACTAGGAAAGTGACAATTGAAACAACTATAGCTTGTCATCGAAGTCATCAAAGTAAACACCTTTTCCTACTTTGTTGCTTAAACAGAATTAGATTATATGCACCACCTGCTTTTACATGTGTCTATGGTTTCCACAGACATGCTTGAGTTAAAGCAAGGTCATTTTCTGTTTCAATTCATTTATATTTAAGTTGAATAATTTAAAATTTTTAATGCATTCAAGTTAGTTATAATTACACATTAGTATATCTGAATTTGGCTTTATAGATGAACTAGTAGCCTGGTGCACAAAATTCATGCACATTAAAAGGGGATTAATTAGAGGAAATATTTTAATATTGCTATTTTCCCTTTCTCTAAAATAGAAGTATCAGAGATTAAAGAAATTAGTAACATTTTGAAAATATATGAAAATCTTCCTCCTGTCAGAGACTGAGGTGCACTACGGGACCCAGAGTCAAGTCCCTGCCCACCCACGTGCACCTCAAAATTATGAGAGACCCAGATCTGCAGTCCCCCCCTTCCCCCAATTGGGATAGATCCAGAACTAGCTAGTCCCACCCTTGTTAAGCCCTGCCAGGAGAGGCCTCATGTTCCCTGGCCCAGCACGGGTAGGGGGTTGGGGGGTCATGGCTTGAGGTTCCCTGTCAAGCCCCTCCAGGCTGGGGGTGTGCCTTGAGGTCCCCCATCAAGCCCCACCAGGCATGGGGCTCAGCCTCAGGTCATCTGGCCTGGTGCCGGAGGGGGGCGCAGCCTCAGGTGCCCCATCAAGCTCTACTGGGTGGGGGCATGGCCTCAGGTTCCCCAGCCCAGGGTGAGGGGAGCAGCCTGAGGTCCCCTAACCCAGCACTGGTGCAGGGAGGCACACCTTGAGGTCCCCTGTCAAGCCCCACAGGGTGGGAAGGTGCAGCCTCAAGTCCCCCTGCTCGGCGCCCTGGTGGGGTGTGTAGCCTCAGGTCCTTTGTTAAGCCCCACCAGGCAGGAGGTGCAGTCTGAGGTCCCCCAGCCTGGCACCTGGGTGGAGGGTGCAGCCTGAGGTCTCCCATCAAGCCCTGCCAGGTGGAGGGCACAACCTGAGGTCCCCCATCAAGCCCCACCAGGCAGGGGCTTGGCCTTAAGCCCTGCTGGGCAGGGAGCGCAGCCTGAAGTCCCCTGTCAAGCCCCATGGGGGTCTGGGTGGGGACACAGCCTCATGTCCCTGCTGATTGCTCATTAAGGATCTTTACAGGAACTCAGCTTCCACTGTGGATGCAGCATCTTGTGTTACAGAAACCCCACCTCCACTGTGGGTGCAGCCATTTTGTGTTATGGAAACCCCCACTTCCGCTTTGGGCACTGTCATCTTTGTGGTGGAGTGATGGTAAATTTGCATATTCCGCCGAAACCGGTTTGGCTCAGTGGTAGAGCGTCGGTCTGTGGACTAAAAGATCCCAGGTTTGATTCCGGTCAAGGGCATGTACCTTGGTTGCGGGCACATCCCCGGTAGGTAGGGGGTGTGCAAGAGGCAGCTGGTCGATGTTTCTCTCTCATTGACGTTTCTAGCCCTCTATCTCTCTCCCTTCCTCCTCTCTTTAAAATATCTATAAAATATATTTTTTTAAAAATTTGCATATTCCCTCTTTATTATATAGGATTATATAGGATGTGTTGGAGAAAAGCCTATTTCTAAGCTCCTAAAGAGTTCCTTATATTATTTTTCTATTCTGCTGGAACAAATTACCACAAACTTAAGTGGCTTAAAACAACATATTTGTTCTCTTATATTCTGGAGGTGAAAAGTCTGGAATTAGTTTCACTGGGCTAAAATCAAACTGTCAGCAGGGTGTTTTCTTCTGGAACTGCTGCCAGACAAGGAGACCTGGCTGTGGGCAGGTCTCCCTAGGGCTGGCCAGTAGTGTGTGAGTTCTGACTTTGTGCAGGAAATATTTCACACCACAGATCCAGGTGATTATGAGGAAATGTTTATTAAAGCTGGGAACAATGAAATAAGGAAGTGCTTAGCATAGAAGGTGTTACAAAGCGAGTCCCCAAGAGATGGACCACCGGAGCCAATTTGATTAAGCATGCTAGAATTTATTACAGATTCGAATCTGGACTCAAACCATGGCTGACACAGCAGCCAGTAAACACCCAGGTAAGAGCCCCGATGGAGGGGCAGTCCCTCCAGAGCGCTCACACAAAAACACAGACAAACACACACCTACCGCGGCCAGTCAGGCTCTTCGGAATGGGGGTCCCTCATGGTCCTGGCTGGGGATTCCAGTCATGATCCCCAAGGACCACCAGGGAGCCGAGTCCGATGCAGTAAACAAAAGAGCCATCTCCATGCTAGCATGGGCCCTGTCCCACTCACGCCGGCAGCATGGCGGAAGAGAGCGAAATTCGCCCAGTCCAGGAGTTTTATTCAGGTCGGTGATGTCACTGCCTCGGCTAACCCTGATTGGCCCCTCAGGACAAACAACTGGCCAATCAGTTGTCTGTTCCTAAATCCTAAAGACTAAATTCTAAAGACTGGGGACAGCCTGCAGGGTTGGTTCCCAGTCACACTCTGCTTGACATTGGATGTGGCCCTATCTTGCCCATAATACAAAAGCAGAACTAAAGGTTATCTACAGTTTCTACCCCTGAAGCTACTGAGTCAGTGGGAGTCAATCTCCTGTAACTACCCTATTGTTTAAGCAAGCAATCGAAGGTAGAAGTCAGATAGCAAGGTTAAAATTCAAACAGCAGTTTTTACCCAAGTATGAGTGCTACCATATTTCAGAAGGAGCAACAGGAGAGCCCAGGCTGGGCTGCCTTAATTCTCTGGAAAGTCAAAAAAAGGTCTTGGGGACAGGGCCAGAGGTTTTTTCCTGGAATGAGTTGCCACTGCCCATTGCTGCCCTGGTCACAAGTCTCATGGGATCCTAGGGTTTAGGAGATGTGTGTCTGTGAGTGGGGGGAGAGAGGGAAGAGAAGAAGGGAAAAGGAAGAATGGTGGCTGCCCTCAGAGGGAGAGCATGTGCTGGATCCTTTGTCTTGAGGGCTTTTATCTCTTTCTCATGGGTGGGAATCTTAGGGGAGGTCTTGGGGGAAACAACAGAATATTCATCAGTTTCCCAGGTGTGCTCCTCCAGGGCCGTGGTCTCCATGGATTGGTCAGTGTCAGAGCAGAGATTGTTAGTCATTGCAGCTGGTCCTGGAGTCGCTCACCTGATTTTTCTGTTTCTCTGGGTCTGAAGCTGAAATATAGCTGAGGCCTAGATGTTATCTCTAGGGAGGTGACCTTGTGTGTCTCCTATAAGGTGCTCTGCAGTTTGCTCAGTTCTCTGTCTCAGTTTCCCAATTTTGTTTGTCCTAGCTTCTTAGCCTATCTTGGAAGCTTGAAAGAGAATCAGTTTCCTTGCCTTTTTTAAGCTTCTGGAGGCTGTGGCTCCTTGACAGTGGCTCCTTTTTTGTCTTTAAGGCACATCATCATATCTCGGCTTCTGACATATTTTCTTTTCCTCCATAGCAATCAGACCTTACTCTCATGAAGGTAATTGTGGTTACATTCAGAGCTGACCTACCTAGTCTAGGATGCTCTCCCCTTCTCAAGATCCTTAATTTAATATTCTCTGCAAAGTCCCTTTGCATATGAAGTAACATAAGTTCCAAGAATTAGAATGTGGACAGTTTAGGGGCCATTATTTAGCTAATCACACCCTCAAAGCCAGTCTTTTCCTCTAGATCTTCCTTCTCAGCTCCTCTTTTCTCCCTTTTTTTTGGTTCCTTCCCCATAACTTATAAATTTAAGTTCTCCCAAATTAAAAAACAACTCTCTTGACTATCTTGCTCTAGCTTTTTCTGCCATGTTTTTTTTCTTTGTATACAACTGTTTTAAAAAATAATTTCATTTAGCCAAAACCAGTTTGGCTCAGTGGATAGAACACTGGCCTGCGGACTGAAAGGTCCCAGGTTCGATTCCAGTCAAGGGCATGTACCTTGGTTGCAGGCACATCCCCAGTAGGGGGTGTGCAGGAGGCAGCTGATCAACATTTCTCTCTCATTGATGTTTCTAACTCTTTATCCCTCTCCCTTCCTCTCTGTAAAAAATCAATAAAATATATTAAAAATAATAATTTCATTTCATTTTCATTTTCATTTCAGCAATGAAATGAAAAAAAAAAAAGTGATGAAAAGCCCAAATCTGAAGAGAAAAACAAGTATTTGGAGGTAGAA